GAACTACAAAATAAAGTTCCCATTAGTCCTAAAAAACGTCTAGAAGTTACAAAGCCATCAACATCAAGGAGTGCTACGAAGGGGAATAAAGAGAAATTTATATATGGCAACTATAGTCAATATTATGGTTACCGTAACAAGGATAAGGATTATCATGATATACGTTTAGATGTCTTTGCCGAACAAAAGGAAATCTTTAGAAATAAACAAATATTAGATATAGGCTGTAATAGTGGTTTCATTACCATGGAGGTGGCAAAACAATTTGAAGTTAAAACTATTGTCGGTTTAGATATAGATAAATCTCTGATAAATCAAGCTATTAAAAATCTAACAAGATGTAAAAAATCCTTACCCATGGATAATGAATATAAAAGACTGCAAAAGTTTCCTTTCAACATAACATTTGTACATGGTAATTATGTATTGAAAGATGAAGTGTTATTGGAAATTGAAAGACCACAATTTGATGTGATATTATGTTTATCCATAACCAAATGGATACATTTGAATTTTGGTGATAAAGGCCTTAAGCAGGCTTTTAGGCGAATGTTCTTACAGTTAAAACCTCAGGGAAAATTAATACTAGAAGCTCAACCTTTTGATAATTATGGCCGAAGGAAGAAAATGACGGTAATTTGAAATTAATCTAATTTTGGTCTTATTTTCTATTAAAACTTTTTCTTTTTATTTTCTTTTACCAGGATACAATATTTAAGAATTTCAGCGAAATGAAATTCTTGCCCAAAGACTTTACCGAGTATTTACTTTCCCCGGAAGTGGGCTTTTCTAGCGTGGAATTAATGGGTGTACCTGATCATTGTAAAAAGGGTTTCAAAAGACCCATACAGATTTTCTTTAAAAAATAACACATAAAACACATGAATTAAATAAAATTATTTTTGTTATACTACTTACACATCCCAAATGCTCAAGTATTATTTGCTGGTCTTTAATTTCTTATTGGGTGACATAGTAGGTGAGCTTAAAGCTTCCATCACACTTGGTAAATGCTTGTCCAGTAATTCTTCAGCTGTTAACTGAAAATCACTTTCTGCCCAAATAAGTTTCAATTGATTCAGTATAAGTCCCATCTTCTTATTAGCAGCACAACCCTTTTCTCTTAAGTGATTACCATTTAAGGGGAATTTAGGCATATTCCAGGATTTTAGTGAATTATACAAATCCTTTTTGTTTTTATATTTTAATAATTCCTCCACGAATTCACGTTTTGCATAAGGTTGCAAACATAAAATTTGATAATCGTTTAGGGTTTTATAATCAACATCAACCTAAAGAAGGGAAATCTCAGATAAAAATCTGTTTTTTTTTTTAGAATTTTAATAGGAATTACCTTATCTCTTTGTTGGGTTATAAACAATGCTAAATCCCGTTCGTAGGCCGAAAGCTTTAATCTTTCATGCAATTTCATGGCATCTTCTACCGAATGCAATAGAGATATTAGGATTAAAATAGGATAATGAGGTTTTTCGAAAATTTTCAAAGCCTGCGACAATCTTTTAAATTCTTCCAGATTTACTTCCTGAGGTAAACCACAATATGGGGCCAAACCACAATTAATCATTTCCAAAACTAATTCCTCAGCAAAATTGCCCACTACAATTTTTTGCAATTCTGACCATATTCTTTCGCCACTAATGCGTGATAAACCGTCCACATTTTGACGTATGGCCTCTAGAGTAGGCTCATCATGTTGATGAGGTTCTCGAGCTATGCGACCATAAAAACGAAAGTATCTTAAAATACGCAAATAATCCTCTTGTATGCGTACTGCAGCATCACCCACAAAAACCACCCTTCTCTGCTGCAAATCCTCGTAACCATAAAAATAGTCATACACCGTGCCATCAAAACCCAAAAACATGGAGTTTATAGTTAAATCCCGGCGATTGGCATCCAATTGCCAATCGGTAGTAAATTGCACTTCTGCATGGCGGCCATCGGTACGCACATCTATTCTCAAGGTGGTCACTTCGAAATTTTCCTTATTATTAATGCGTGGCGTTATGGTACCATGCTTTTCGCCCCGAGCATTTATCATGCGTACATTTTCCGCGGTAAACATTTCCTTCATTTGATCCGGTGTGGCGGTGGTGGCAAAATCTACATCTTTCGGTTTTATATCCATTAATATATCACGTACTGCTCCACCCGCTATTCTCAACTCATAGTTGTATTTCTTAAATAGATCCACTAAAGCACTTAGTTCCTCCGTGAATATGCTTCTAAATTCTGGAGTATCAATTTTCTTCACAGCCGGATTGTCGCGCATTTTGTTAGGCACTCCCAAGACCACCGGTTTCAATTCTTTTGTTTGCTGCTTACACGAGGCGGACATAGAACGTAAGGAAATTTTCACTATTTGTCGGGTGTTGATTAATAAATTCCAATTTTTCACAATAAACATAACTTTTTACTCAGTTCCCGGTGTTTTTGTTTTCAATTTCAAAGAAGACACATCAGAGCCCTGCGCCGACAAATATTAACGGCGGCGGCGACTGACACTAAATATGTCGGCGGCGGCTTAAAATCGACTGTAAGCCGGCTAAGTTTTCAACTACGTTTAGTTTTTAATTTTTCAACGATTTTAAATAAAAACGGAATCCTAGAGATCAAAAAATGGGATTTTGGAAGCAAATATATTGTTTATAACAAAAAAAACAGAGCAAGCTCAAAAGTTGTGTGAGAAATTATGCAGGGATGAATAAAAAATTCTTAAAAATTAAAAACAAATCCTTTCTCCAAGTTTTACTAGGATCTGCCGATATTTAAGCCTATCTTCCATATAAAACATCTTGCAGAAAATCAGTTTCTAAAAAATTTTGCATTAAGAAAATGATCAATAACGTAAAAACAAAGATATTTTATTTACAAGCTATACCCAGTGTGCTGTGTTACCCTAAAAGCAATATAAATAAGAAACCCACTTAACGACTTTGATGATTCTAACTACAATGGTTTTCCAGATATACAATTTGTTACATATGGGAGATTCCACGCAAATTATTGCAATTTCGAATAATCTAATAGTTTCCCAGATATACAAAATTTTGTATTTAATTCATATGGGAAGTGCCAAGCCCCCCATTGAAAGTCCGCCCGTTATTCTCTAAATGTTCTTCAGTAAAAATTGAAATTCTAGCTCTAATAGTTTCTCAGATATACGAATTTTTCTATTTAATTCATATGGGAGCTCCAAGCCCCCCAGATGAAAGTCCGCCCTTTTTTCTCCAAAATGTTCAGATGAATATTAAAGTTCTTCGTGCAAAATTTTAAAGAATTTAGTTCTATTAGTTTCCCAGATAAACGAATTTTTGTATTTAATTCATATGGGAGGTTCCGCTTCCCTCATTGGTAGTCCCCCAATTTATTACCCAAAATGTTTACATGGATGTTAAAGTTCTTCCAGAACAACATCATTTAAAGGGATCACAAAGAGATTGAAAAATATTCCGAAAGTTTCACTTTGAAAACATTATTAGAATGTATGAAAACTCGCAACTCTAAAGGCAGACTATTCCTATTTTAGCGGTAATTTATGATTAAATTAAGTAAGAAGTAAGAGTTATATTCGGCAAATCATATGTCGTTAAAAAGCAAATTTCGGAAGTGTCCGATCATTAGATTAATAAGAACGTCACCGTGTTTTTCGGATTGGGGACTTAAATGTGGATTTGGATCAATAATATATATAATTTAAAGTATTTTTTTTAATTCTACCATAATTCTACCATCATAATGATAACTTTTGGAATGATGTATTAGCTATAAACTGATTTTCTGTAAGAGGGTTATATTGGCGGACCGATCCTCATAACTTTATTTTTCATAAATGTAGGTTTCGGTTCCTAAAAATGTTTTTTTCGTCGACATCGACATTTGAAATCCATTTATGTGCGTTTAAGTCATTTCTCAAGAAGATTTCATATACATATTTGCATTACATATTTTCGTTCCAACAAAAATTGTTTTATTATGGTATTATTAAGTACGTAAAAAACGTTAAAATCAATTATTGAAGGGGGCAGGGTCAATTATGGCCTATAGAAATTTCGATTGATATCGAGCCATTTTTGCAAAATGGACGTAAGCGAGATAAATTTTCGTTCAATTAGGATACTGCGTGTTTAATTTTATGTTTATATATTCAATATTTTAGAAAATTCAAAAAGTACCAGTTAAAGAACGAAAAATTACCAGAAATACTCCAGTTTAAATTTTCATTCACTCAAGTCCCTGATTGCTTAGTTTTATGTTTTTAGGTTCATTATAATAGAAAATTCAAATAGAACCAGTTGAAGGACGAAAAAGTTCCAAAAAGTCCCCTTTTATATGTTATCACTTAATCCGGGCTATTATAAAAAATTCAAAAAGTACCAGTCGAAGAACGAAAAAGTACCAAAAAGTCCGCTTTTAAATGTTATCACTTAATCCGGGCTGTACATTCTTAATTTCATTTTTCTAGGTTCAATATTTTAAAAAAATCCAAAAAGTACCAGTCGAAGAACGAAAAAGTACTAAAAAGTCCCTTTTTATAGATTATAATTTACTCCGGGCTCTACATATTTATTTTTATGTTTCTAGGTTTAATTTTATGGAAAACTCAAAAAGTACCAGTCGAAGTACGATAAAGTTCCCATTTTATAGATTCTCATTTACTCCAGGCTCTAAGTGCTTAATTTCATGTTTCGAGGTTCAAATTTTTTAGCAAGCTTAAAAAGTACCAGTCAAAGAACGAAAAAGTACCAAAAAGTGCCATTTTATAGATTCTCATTTACTCCAGGCTCTACGTGCTTAATTTCATGTTTCTATGTTCAATTTAATAGAAAACTCAAAAAGTACCTAAAAAGTACCAAAAAGTCCACTTTTATAGATTCTCAAGTGCTTAATTACATGTTTCTAAGTTCTAAGTCAAAAAAGTACCAGTTGCAACATCGTATTGGGAGCCCGTTATTTTGTATTCATATGTATAAGTTAATAAACCAAAAACAATGTTTTATAAAAAAGTACCAAAAATAGGTACAATTTTCACCCCTTAAACGTCCGAATATCCAAAAAGTACTAAATTCATATTTTTATTTGTTCGTCAAGTTATGAAGGATTCAAAAATATTTGTTGAATGTTCTCTGGTTTAAAAGATACATGGGGTGCAAAAGAAGTACCAAATTACAGTTTCTACCCGTTTATTCCCCAAAGGAGCCGAATTTGAAAAAAGTACCAGACACCTGTCCGCTTATTTTTTAAATGAATGACGATAAGCTTTAAACTGTTTTTGTATCTTTTATAGTTTAGGAGATATGAGGTTAACGAATTTACCCGTTTTTACCATTTTTAACCCCCTAATCATTCGAATTTCCAAAAATCCCGTCTTAGTGAATCTATTTGGTGGGAGACCAACCTCCTGTCCAAATTTCAGCTCTTTAGCTAAAATCGTTTAGGCTGTGCGATGATGAATCAGTCAGTCAGTAACGTTAGAATTTTATATATGTACGTATGTATGTACATATGTATATAGATTTCGTGCATTGAATTATACTGTAAAAACATTCTAATGTTCGACTTGAATTCAAGTTTCGTTTTCACTGGAGAATTCTATTGAATTAAAGTGTAATGAAAGTGAATTTCAACACTTGAAATTTGAATGTTTGACTGGAATTAAACATGTTTTAAACTTTAATTCCAGCAAGAATGCTTATTTGGTATAGTGTGACAACTATAAGGGATCTAAAGTCGACTTAAAGCCCACAATGGTTAGTACCAATATTTTGCCCAAACAACATTTACATACCTACCCAGGTTCTATCCTCTAGGTCCGTGAAGACATTCTCTACAAAGCTATAAATTTGTATAAAAGACGGCTTAACAATTGTTTCTTGTAAATATTCGGCCACCATAGTGTTTGGAGACAACAAGAGCTGCACTGAAAGGCACACCTGACAGACATCGCGCTCTATTATGGGTGTATGGTAGTGATTCTGCTAGGATCAATGGTATAATAATAAGTATGTATCTCAAGGATACCCCCTGAATACGGCAATCAGCTTCCTTCCATTGCCTCTAGGTGATAATATACCATGTCACCACTAGCCGACCGACCACCACCCACCTAGGCTACTAGGGAGGTATACAATTGCCACTCTCTTGTGGGCATTCTTCCAGGAGACCATCATGATGCCTCCTCTTTCTTGAAAAGAAAGACGTTCATTATAGACAAATAAATAATTAATTAACACCATTACATACATTTTTTAATCTTTTTAATCTAGATCTCACAAATATGTCAAATATAGATTTCGATAAACACTTTTGGGTATTAAACGAAAACAAACCCATATAATTATTAACAATTTAACTAAATTCAACCCAACACTTGCTGTTTCTTTGTACAATGACCCTCGGTATAGTAGTATAGCATACAATCTTATTAATTTTAATTTTTAGTAAAAAATTATTTTTTTATTTAAAGAATATCATTTCTGTCATTTTAGATTTTCGCACACACACAACAACAGATTTTTTTGGCAAATAAAAAATGCAGAAAACAGTTTGGCGCGAAAAATTCTAGCAGTCGGCAGAATTGACATCAACTGCACTTCCCATTTGAAATACACATGTTCGATACCCTAGCCCTTTACGGTATGACATACCAGCAATGTAAAAAGGTGTAGCTCCGTTGACGTCAACGAAGCTGGTTTGAAGTCAAAGCAGCGACTCGAATTAGGCGCGAAAACACGAAAATATCTGAGGCGAAGCATCGAACGTTGAGCAAAGTTCTACACTGGCCAAATTTCAATGAGCGGCTTATTATTAAATAAAAGAAAACTTGCTTAAATGAAAACAAATTAATTTTATTTTGTAAAATTCCACAAATTTAGCGAAAGTATTCTGTAAATTGTACAAAATATGGCGAAATTTTCAAGCCGTATTAAGCTGAAAAATTTTCGGCGGCGGCAGCTTTGACATTTCTTTCGGCGGCTAGGCTTAGTCGGCTTAAGCCGAATCGGCGCAAGTCTCTGAGACACATTGATGATGAAATTTTGACAGAAAAACTATTAAAAACAAAAAAAGTGAGTCAGCTGTTGTGGTTGTCGTCTTTGCTACATTAAAATGTGGTAATACAGTTCTTTAAATATAAGAAAAACAGTTATATTGAGAAAATTCTTCAGAGTTGTAAAAAAATTATTTTTGATGGGCAACTTGGGAGATTTTCACTATTTTCTCAATTGGGGCGTTATTTATGAATCTACAGCCGATTTAAGTTTTCTATATAAAAAATCGATTTTGGCGGCAAATTTGAGTGATCATAGATTTTCACTGTTTTCTCAATTGTAGCGTTATTTAAGGATATACAGCCGATTTAAGTTTTCTACATAAAAAATCGATTTTTGATGGGAAATATGAGTGATCACAGATTTTCACTGTTTTCTCAATTGGAGCGTTATTTAAGGATATACAGCCGATTTAAGTTTTCTACATAAA